AGAGAGGATATATTGTATTATAGGATCACAGAGAGGATATATTGTATTATATCACAGAGAGGATATATTGTATTATAGGATCACAGAGAGGATATATTGTATTATATCACAGAGAGGATATATTGTATTATAGGATCACAGAGAGGATATATTGTATTATAGGATCACAGAGAGGATATATTGTATTATATCACAGAGAGGATATATTGTATTATAGGATCACAGAGAGGATATATTGTATTATAGGATCACAGAGAGGATATATTGTATTATAGGATCACACAGAGGATATATTGTATTATATCACAGAGAGGATATATTGTATTATATCACAGAGAGGATATTTTGTATTATATCACAGAGAGGATATATTGTATTATAGGATGACTGAGAGGATATATTGTATTATATCACAGAGAGGATATATTGTATTATAGGATGACAGAGAGGATATATTGTATTATATCACAGAGAGGATATATTGAATTATATCACAGAGAGGATATATTGTATTATAGGATCACAGAGAGGATATATTGTGTTATAGGATCACAGAGAGGATATATTGTATTATATCACAGAGAGGATATATTGTATTATAGGATCACAGAGAGGATATATTGTATTATAGGATCACAGAGAGGCTATATTGTATTATAGGATCACAGAGAGGATATATTGTATTATATCACAGAGAGGATATATTGTATTATATCACAGAGAGGATATATTGTATTATAGGATGACAGAGAGGATATATTGTATTATATCACAGAGAGGATATATTGTATTATATCACAGAGAGGATATATTGTATTGTAGGATCACAGAGAGGATATATTGTATTGTATTATATCACAGAGAGGATATATTGTATTATATCACAGAGAGGATATATTGTATTATAGGATCACAGAGAGGATATATTGTATTATAGGATGACAGAGAGGATGTATTGTATTATATCACAGAGAGGATATATTGTATTATATCACAGAGAGGATATATTGTATTATAGGATCACAGAGAGGATATATTGTATTATATCACAGAGAGGATATATTGTATTATAGGATCACAGAGAGGATATATTGTATTATATCACAGAGAGGATATATTGTATTATATCACAGAGAGGATATATTGTATTATAGGATCACAGAGAGGATATATTGTATTATATCACAGAGAGGATATATTGTATTATAGGATCACAGAGAGGATATATTGTATTATAGGATCACAGAGAGGATATATTGTATTATAGGATCACAGAGAGGATATATTGTATTATATCACAGAGAGGATATATTGTATTATATCACAGAGAGGATATATTGTATTATATCACAGAGAGGATATATTGTATTATAGGATCACAGAGAGGATATATTGTATTATAGGATGACAGAGAGGATATATTGTATTATATCACAGAGAGGATATATTGTATTATATCACAGAGAGGATATATTGTATTATAGGATCACAGAGAGGATATATTGTATTATAGGATCACAGAGAGGATATATTGTATTATATCACAGAGAGGATATATTGTATTATATCACAGAGAGGATATATATTGTATTATAGGATCACAGAGAGGATATATTGTATTATAGGATCACAGAGAGGAAGGGGATATATTATTATAGGATCACAAGAGAGGATATATTGTATTGTTATATCACAGAGAGGATATATTGTATTATGGGATTCACAGAGGATATATTGTATTATATCACAGAGAGGATATATTGTATTATAGGATCACAGAGAGGATATATTGTATTATAGGATCACAGTGAGGATATATTGTATTATATCACAGATAGGATATATTGTATTATAGGATCACAGAGAGGATATATTGTATTATAGGATCACAGAGAGGATATATTGAATTATAGGATCACAGAGAGGATATATTGTATTATATCACAGAGAGGATATATTGTGTGGCAAACCTAGCCACTCGGACTATAACTGGACACTATGCCTTTAAGGGTTGCCTATAGATCTGGAGAGAGATGCATTGTACCTATATGTGCCTGCTTCATGTATTCCCTGCATTGCCTGTACCTATCTGTTCCGCCGAATGCAAATGGCGGTTTGTATGGGGATTCTCGTTCGTTTCACGAACGGCACTTTGGAGGGCCGTTCGTGAAACGAATGCGATGCCCACACACTTAGAGGCGTGTGGCGCTAGTTAACCGATTGCAACATTGTTGCAATCGGTTATTAGAGGCTCTCCTGGGTGGCCGTCGTTCGACTACCGACCATGCGGCGGTCGGCCATCTTGGATCCCTGGTTCTTCAGCGGGTCTGTGTCGTCGAACGCATAGCATTGCCAACAGTTATTCGACGGCACGAACACCGCTGAGCCTCCAGGACGTTCGGGAGTTTCAGGACCAGGTTCACTAAAAGCAATCGGTTCTTTTCGTGGGTTTTGAAAGAAATATGTTTTCTGTGCGGCGTTCGGTTATTTTAGCTGGGATCTGAGCGGCAATCTCACGAATGATGCGCCCAGACCCCAGCTATCTACTGAACGTCCATTCGTGTAAATCCACCGTATATTGTACCAGTTGTAGATTTTTGTGTGAATTGCCGGTTCTGCTGCACGAGGGGATAATCCCCTTAACGGTGCATTCTGGGAGGATGATCCCTCTCGTGCAGCGGTGCCTGATGGGAGAAATATGTGGTACTGTAAGTCCCCCATGTAGTCCCCTCCTGTACAACCCCTGTAATGTCTGTTTGGAAACCCCTTGCATGGGGAATTGCATAAATACTGTGACCCGTGATTAAAACCTCAGTTGACTCCCAGCCTATGTGTCGTCTAGTTCTTGGGAAGGAAGGGTTACTGCAGTGCTGTTTGGATTATTATATGCTGATTCCCTGGATTATCCTTTGTTGTTCCTGTTACCCAGCGGAGATATCGTGGATCATACTGCCTCTCCGCTACATATTGTATTATAGGATCACAGAGAGGATATATTGTATTATATCACAGAGAGGATATATTGTATTATAGTATCACTGAGAGGATATATTGTATTATATCACAGAGAGGATACATTGTATTATAGGATGACAGAGAGGATATATTGTATTATATCACAGAGAGGATATATTGTATTATAGGATCACAGAGAGGATATATTGTATTATATCACAGAGAGGAAATATTGTATTATAGGATCACAGAGAGGATATATTGTATTATAGGATCACATACAGGATATATTGTATTATATCACAGAGAGGATATATTGTATTATATCACAGAGAGGATATATTGTATTATAGGATCACAGAGAAGATATATTGTATTATATCACAGAGAGGAAATATTGTATTATAGGATCACAGAGAGGATATATTGTATTATAGGATCACATAGAAGATATATTGTATTATATCACAGAGAGGATATATTGTATTATATCACATAGAGGATATATTGTATTATAGGATCACAGAGAGGATATATTGTATTATATCACAGAGAGGATATATTGTGTTATAGGATGACAGAGAGGATATATTGTATTATAGGAACACAGAGAGGATATATTGTATTATATCACAGAGAGGATATATTGTATTATATCACAGAGAGGATATATTGTGTTATATCACAGAGAGGATATATTGTATTATAGGATCACAGAGAGGATATATTGTATTATAGGATCACAGAGAGGATATATTGTATTATATCACAGAGAGGATATATTGTATTATAGGATCACAGAGAGGATATATTGTATTATAGGATGACAGAGAGGATATATTGTATTATATCACAGAGAGGAAATATTGTATTATAGGATCACAGAGAGGATATATTGTATTATATCACAGAGAGGAAATATTGTATTATAGGATCACAGAGAGGATATATTGTATTATATCACAGAGAGGATATATTGTATTATATCCCAGAGAGGATATATTGTATTATATCACAGAGAGGATATATTGTATTATAGGATGACAGAGAGGATATATTGTATTATATCACAGAGAGGATATATTGTATTATATCACAGAGAGGATATATTGTATTATAGGATCACAGAGAGGATATATTGTATTATAGGATCACAGAGAGGATATATTGTATTATAGGATGACAGAGGATATATTGTATTATATCACAGAGAGGAAATATTGTATTATAGGATCACAGAGAGGATATATTGTATTATATCACAGAGAGGAAATATTGTATTATAGGATCACACAGAGGATATATTGTATTATATCACAGAGAGGATATATTGTATTATAGGATCACAGAGAGGATATATTGTATTATAGGATTACAGAGAGGATATATTGTATTATAGGATCACAGAGAGGATATATTGTATTATAGGATCACAGAGAGGATATATTGTATTATAGGATCACAGAGAGGATATATTGTATTATATCACAGAGAGGAAATATTGTGTTATATCACAGAGAGGATATATTGTATTATAGGATCACAGAGAGGATATATTGTATTATATCACAGAGAGGATATATTGTATTATAGGATCACAGAGGGGATATATTGTATTATATCACAGAGAGGATATATTGTATTATAGGATCACAGAGAGGATATATTGTATTATAGGATCACAGAGAGGATATATTGTATTATAGGATGACAGAGAGGATATATTGTATTATATCACAGAGAGGATATATTGAATTATATCACAGAGAGGATATATTGTATTATAGGATCACAGAGAGGATATATTGTGTTATAGGATCACAGAGAGGATATATTGTATTATATCACAGAGAGGATATATTGTATTATAGGAGGATATTATATGATGTTGCTGAGTATTTATAGTAATTTAGGTTCACACAGAATATATATGGAGATATAGGGTAGTACATAGGTTCTACACAATGCTCCCACTCCCAGCCCATACACTGCATTCTATACATCGCTGCCGTCCTAAACATCGCTCTCTGAGAGGTCGTACCCTTCACTGATTCACACTTTGGTTTGGAAGGACGCGGGGATACATCGCTTCATCTGCGCTCCTGAGATACGTTTATTGTGGAGATCCTGATACGTCTGGGCTGAGGAGATCCTGGTCCTGGTCCATCTTTCTGAGGAGATCCTGGTCCTGGTCCATCTTTCTGAGGAGATCCTGGTCCTGGTCCGTCTGGGTTGAGGAGAACCTAGTCCTGGTCCGTCTGTGCTGAGGAGATCCTGGTCCATGTGGAGAGGATCTTGGTCCTTCTGGGCTGAGGAGATCTTGGTTTTCCTGGGGGTGAGGAGATCCTAGTCCACCTTGGATAATGAGACCATGGCCCAGTGAGGCTGAGATGGATATTTGACCCTCATTTACCTTCTGGTCCGTGGTGGGATTTTAATCAGAGGAGGTTGAGAAGATGGAGTCCGGTGCTGACTCAGAGACTCGGCGCTTAGTGGAGCAGAACCGGACCGGGGGAGACCTAAAGATCAAAAGGTAATGGGGCAACTAGCAGGGGGACTGCCTGATCCTCAAAACAACCAATATTTCATTCTTCATATATATCTAGGACAACCTGTATCTTATACACCTTGTATATCTAGGACAGCCTGTATCTTATACACCTTGTATATCTAGGACAGCCTGTATCTTATACACCTTGTATATCTAGGACAGCCTGTATCTTATACACCTTGTATATCTAGGACAGCCTGTATCTTATACACCTTGTATATCTAGGACAGCCTCTATCTTATACACCTTGTATATCTAGGACAGCCTGTATCTTATACACCTTGTATATCTAGGACAGCCTCTATCTTATACACCTTGTATATCTAGGACAGCCTCTATCTTATACACCTTGTATATCTAGGACAGCCTGTATCTTATACACCTTGTATATCTAGGACAGCCT